ACAAATAGTGGTCTCCACAACAACGCGTCAACACGGATGCTGCACTATTGAGCAACACGAATACACTCGTTTCAGATAAACTACTCAAGAAATACAGGATGTATTAAATTGAAATTTCGTGCAGTGATTTTCCACGATGTGTTTCATGAGTGTATTGAATATCACGAGCAACCGTGCAACAATGAATATAATATGATCGAAACAATGTAGTGTTTTAAAAGCGAAAAATCCACGTTGACTTACATTCGGATTGCATTTGTCGCGCTAAAAACATTGTATTGTTACGGTCATAAAAGCTTCATTGGTTGACGGTTTCTTTTGAAATTAAATCTCGCAATGTTAAACATAATGATGAATCAGTGTACGAAAATTCAGTGTAATACAGCATGTATTTCACGAGTTGTAGTCTCCAAAAACGAGTTTGGTGGTGGAGACCACTATTAATCTGGCGAGCCCTCTATGAAAGAAAATTAATAGGCATTGGTGCTAGACCACTGAGTGTGCAGACCTGTAAATTGGCCCCAAATTGCCTACGCTAGCCAAATTACAATTTGTGCACCCTCAAATACTTTGCTATTAGAGCATTTTGTGGGCCAATAATTTGAAAGTTTGTAGAAAAGAAGGGCAGAAGGCGTGCACGTGACTGCAAGCTGGTATTTCTGTGTAATTTGGATGGAATTGGGCGGTAAAATGAACCGTATTTAAAATTCTAATCGACTCTCATAGACCTAAGTGATAGTAAGACGTACTTCTATTTTTTTGTTAAATGCTCACAACTCTATATCTCTAAGGCGTTTGAAATTTGAATAAAATACAGATCTAGTATTTTTTGAGTTGTTGCCTCCAAAACGAATTTGTTCTGTATTTGAAAATTGAAATTTCGTCCGGTGATTTGTCATGGTGACTGTGTAAAATTATGAGATTGTTGCCCCCAAAACGAATTCTTTCGAGAAAGGGCGCGCTGAATAAAACTAGTGGTCTCGCAACGCCAAGACAACAATCCGCACGCCGTAAAATATTTTAAGTTTCGTTATAGAGGGCGCGCCACATAATTAGTGGTCTCAACAACGCATCAACACGGATGCTGGAAAATTGAACAAAAAGAACAAACTGGTTTCCGATGAACTACTCAAGAAATACGAAATGGATTCAATTGAAATTTCGACCAATTAGTTTTCACGATGTGTAGCAGAAGTGGTTTGAATGGCGTGAGAAACTGTGGAGCTATAAATATAATATGATTGTAACAATCTAGTGTTTGAAAAGCTAGAAATCCACGTTGACTTCCATTAGGATTGTATTTGTCGCGATTAAAACCCTGTATTGTTACGGTCATAATAGCTTGATTGTTTGACCTTTTCTTATGAAATTAAATCTGTTCATGTTAAACATCATGACAAATGAGTGCACGAAAATTCATTTTTATGTAACGTGTATTTCTTGAGTTGTTGCCCCCAAACGAGGCCGGTTGTTCTGTATTTTAAAAATTGAATATTCAGTGATTTGTCATAATGACTGTGCAATTACATTATGAGTTTGAATTTCATGAGAAATCATCAAGCAATGAAAAAGAGCATTCCCGAAACAAATATAGTATTTTAAACGTGAAAAATACAAACCAAATGAAATATAAAAAAGTCAAGGTCCATGGAAAAATAATAATAATACACTCGTTGTTTGAGCAATAACCCGAGCTCACCAGGTCAGGCTATAATAAGTTGTAAGTTCAGCAAGTGATCGGTCTTGATGTCTTACATGAGGAGGTTAAATTTTGTAAGAAACGGTCAAACAACTTAAAAACATCTTTCGAGAAAGGGCACACTGAATAAAACTAGTGGTCTCGCACCGCCAAGACAACAATCCGCACGCCGTAAAAAAATTTAAGTTTCGTTCAATAGAGGGCGCGCCACATAATTAGTGGTCTCAACAACGCATCAACACGGATGCTGGAAAATTGAACAAAAACAAACTGGTTTCCGATGAACTACTCAAGAAATACGAAATAGATTCAATTGAAATTTCGACCAATTAGTTTTCACGATGTGTAGCAGAAGTGGTTTGAATGGCGTGAGAAACTGTGGAGCTATAAATATAATATGATCGTAACAATCTAGTGTTTGAAAAGCTAGAAATCCACGTTGACTTCCATTGGGATTGTATTTGTCGCGATTAAAACCCTGTATTGTTACGGTCATAATAGCTTGATTGTTTGACCTTTTCTTATGAAATTAAATCTGTTCATGTTAAACATCATGACAAATGAGTGCACGAAAATTCATTTTTATGTAAGGTGTATTTCTTGAGTTGTTGCCCCAAAACGAGGCCGGTTGTTCTGTATTTTAAAAATTGAATATTCAGTGATTTGTCATAATGACTGTGCAATTACATTATGAGATTGAATTTCATGAGAAATCATCAAGCAATGAAAAAGAGCATTCTCGAAACAAATATAGTATTTTAAACGTGAAAAATACAAACCAAATGAAATATGAAAAGTCAAGGTCCATGGAAAAATAATAATAATACACTCGTTGTTTGAGCAATAACCCGAGCTCACCAGGTCAGGCTATAATAAGTTGTAAGTTCAGAGAGTGATCGGTCGTGATGTCTTACATGAGGAGATTAAATTTTGTGAGAAACGGTCAAACAACTTAAAAACATCTTTCGAGAAAGGGCACACTGAATAAAACTAGTGGTCTCGCACCGCCAAGACAACAATATTTGTTCTGTATTTGAAAATTGAAATTTCGTCCGGTGATTTGTCATGGTGACTGTGTAAAATTATGAGATTATATTTTACGGGAGACCGTCAAACAGTAAAAAAGAATATGACCAAAACAAATATAGCATTTTAACCGCGAAAAATACAAACCGAATGAAAAAAACCCAGAAAGTCAACGTCCGTGGAAAAATAACACTCTCGTTATTTGGGCAATAACCCGAGCCCACGAGGCTGGCCAGCTGTATTGAGTTGTAAGTTCGGCCAGTGATAGGTCTTGATGTGTTTCATATTAGGAGATTAAATTTTGTGAGAACCCGTAAAAAAACTGAAAGTTTCTTTCCAGAAATTTCGCGCTTAATAAGACTAGTGGTCTCGCACACCATCAAGACAAACGTGATGCGCTCGTACCTACTTTAAGTTTCGTTCAATAGAGGGCGCGCCACACAAATAGTGGTCTCCACAACAACGCGTCAACACGGATGCTGCACTATTGAGCAACACGAATACACTCGTTTCAGATAAACTACTCAAGAAATACAGGATGTATTAAATTGAAATTTCGTGCAGTGATTTTCCACGATGTGTTGCATGAGTGTATTGAATATCACGAGCAACCGTGCAACAATGAATATAATATTATCGTAACAATGTAGTGTTTTAAAAGCGAAAAATCCACGTTGACTTCCATTCGGATTGCATTTGTCGCGCTAAAAACCCTGTATTGTTACGGTCATAATAGCTTCATTGTTTGACGGTTTCTTATGAAATTAAATCTCGCAATGTTAAACATAATGATAAATGAATGTGCGAAAATTCAGTTTAATACAGCATGTATTTCACGAGTTGTTGTCCCCAGAAACGAGTTTGGTGGTGGCGATCGAGACCACTATTAATCTGGCGCGCCCTCATGGAAAGAGAATTAACCCTAAAAGGGCCTGGGCGGAATATGCCCCCCTCAACCTTTCCTGCGATAGCCTTAAAAAAATTCTTTTTCGCGATTCGAGCTGTTATGACTTTTTATCCTCGCGCATCTTTTGATACCAAAAACATAAAAATCGGACCATGAAAACTGAATTTTCCATATCCGTAGTGTACACAGAGCAGAATTACCATTCATACATTTGAATAATTAAGTAGCCGTAATTCCAAAAACCTTTGACCAAAAGTCATGAAATTTCTTGGGTATGTTTATGGCGAGTTGTTCTATGCATATTTTGAGTTTCAGAATTTTTCGTCACTCGGTGGCCGAGATCTTAGGTCCCAAGTCTGGGCCAAAGGTTCATTGCCATATTTTTTTCAATTCCCTAATTTTATGGCTCTCAGAACTGTCTAATATTTTATTCATGAGCTCGGCGGATGGGTTTAGGCCTATTGACAGGTGTGCACCCGTACACGTCAATTTCCTTCAATATATTACATTCATTCTTTGGCGGTTCTTGTCAATTTTCAATAACTGTAGTTTACATCTCGAACGGCCAGACGTACGTCAGAACAGCGCGGTGAACAGTATTTGTGTAGTGCGCCCTCCTTTGTAAGAAATTGTTGCATGACGAGAAAATACGGAGTGTCCTTCATACTGCAATTTCCTTAAATTATTACATTCATTCTTCGGCGGTTCCTGTCAAGTTTCTAGAATTTCGTGTTAAATACCACGACAAAATATTACAGGAAATTTAATTGCAATACAATGTGTTTATCATGAGTTCCCAATTTCACAAGAACTGTGTTGACATGACGAGAAAATACGGAGTCTCCTTCATACTGCAATTTCCTTAAATTATATTACATTCATTCTTCGGCGGTTCCTGTCACTAAATGCCCATACTTCTAAATTCTTTTAAAAATACTCAGAACTCTCACATGTATTTAATAGGCATTGGTGCGAGATCGAGACCACTGGGTAAAATGGTCAAATGTCATCAAAATTGCCCTTCTTTTCCACAACTTACAACTTAATGCAGCTGGCAGAACGTTTCTGCTATAAAATTCGAATATGACTTGAAAACTAACAGTTGAAACTTTCTTCTTAATGTATTCATTTAGTTTTTTTAATATCTTTATTTATTGAGTCGTAAAGATAGAAATAATTTCAACCTGAAAGAGTTAAATGATGTAAACTTGAAGATGAACCAGATCAGATCACGCGTCATTCATTCATTTTGCACATTGATACCTTTGTCAATGTGTAGTTTATTAACCGTAATGTCTAGTTCAACTACCCACACCCAACCACCCCCCCCCCTTACCACCACCAAAAAAATTGCAGAATCATCATTTTGCAACTTTTAAACTAACAACACATGATTGTTTAGTTGTTTATAGTTGTAGATGGAAAACTCCTTGAAATTTCCTTATTTTGAAAGAACATCGAAAAAAGGGGTGTTTCTGTAGCATTATTTAGGCCCCTATTTGGTTGAAGTTTGTCGGATGTTGTTTTCTGGTCGAGAACCGCGAAGCTAAAACGATTTTTTTTTTATCACTAAAACTCCTTCACTATGAGCAGCTATTGCAAACAAAACCCTTTAAAACAAGCACCATGCACATTATACTTTTCAAAGGATTGTTTTTGAAATTTAGTTTAAATGCAACAAACGCATTACATCCAAAAAACGACTAACTTCTCGAAACGTGTCATTGTTTTCATCGGCTGAAGAAAATACGAAAATGGTAAAAAAAGAAGAGAAATTGAAAAGTAATCTTTCATATTCCTCACTTAAAGATTTCCTAATATTTGAAATATATGGAATGGTGTGTTGATAGTGTTTTATCAAATTCTATACGAATACCATTATTACAAATAAAGTTCTAAAATAATTGTTGATAGTTGAACGATTATTTCCAAATTACCTTCATGTTATACCAACAGATTTAATAATTTAAACTCTTCTTTTTTAAATTTGCGTAGGGACCTTTTACAGCGTTTCATAACTTACTTATAATGCAATACCTGTTGCGTTGTATGATATATTAATTTATATAAAATAAGTGCATCATATACAAAATGTTTTTGATAAATACTTGCCGCTTTTCAAACCGCTGTAACAAGAAAACTACAATCTGTGTCAACAAATGAAACTTGGCTTCATTACATTGGTGTTTTCTCACAATCGTAAGTGCTACATTTCAGCATTAGTATATACAGAGTCTTTCTGTGATAATAAATACATGATTTTGAGTATGATACAAAAGTCTAGAGGTCTTCACTTCTCGCCTTCTTCAGAATCACCCATCGATCCTCGATCCGTCTCCGAATCCCCGCAGTTGTTTTCCTTGTGTTCCTCCGTGTGCAAGACGCCCTGTAGCTGCTTGATGTACCGTATAGCTGTGCGGAGCGTCTCCACCTTGCTCAACCGTTTCTCGGGGTTTTCCGTCGGTAGGTGTTCTCGCAACCGCGCGTACCCCTCGTTGACATTCCGGACTCTTTCCCGTTCTCGCTCGTTTCGTCGTCGGATGAAAGACGGCTCGAGATCGTAGAACCCAAAGGGGCTAGGCAAGGGGACGTAGCTGCTGTAATGCCCCATGAAGGAGCCAGTATACCGGGGGTCTAGGTAGTTAGGTATCGGTAAGGTGACATCGGTGTTGTTACCGTGTTCACGGAGCGGGTACAGGCCGGCGGCCGTCGGGCAGTCGCTCATGGGAATGCCGAGCTGGACGCAGGTTGGCGTTGAGTAGATAGCCGACTCGGAATGCGGTTCCTCCATCATGGTGGCTGAAAATCAGTCACACTATCGTCTCAAAATGAAGCAGTGCTCTGTTGTTCTGTTGGTTATCAAACCAACTAATGTCGATTACGTCAACTGATGTTAGTTGCAGACTGAACTGACTTTTGTTTTTTCAACTGTTGACGCAGGCTTTGGCTAATTTGGTGATTTCGAAGAGGTTTTCCTCCAAATGTTGAGATGCTCCGTACGCGCAGAGTTAGCGTGAATGTACAGCTATTGTTGCCAAAATGGGTGATGAGCGGTATGATGAAACCGGCTTGTAAGAAAGGTGAAACAGAAGAAGGCAAACCTGTAGAAAGAAGGAAGTAAAGAATAATGATCAATGTCTTGAGATTATGATATTAGCATTGACTCTTTCAAAAGATATGTCCTGGCGCAGTGTTGCCATTGCATCGCATGTACTTCATTCTGTGAAAACACCAAAACAATATATTCACATTTTAACATCTGTTGATTTCAATGACCAACAGATCCCTGTTGCATGTAGCACATACATGTATTCATCAGATGCGACCTGTTACATCTTGCAAATCCAAAATGTTGCTAGTGAAATAGAAACGATACTTTGTCCTTTTTACACTTTACTCGACAGTGATGCCGTCACCAGCTGAAACACTGACGGTAATAACTGTCAAATTTCCAGCCGGCATTTCTTGCAGAGCCGGTACGGTGCTCGTCATATCGAGCGACCGCCCTAAGTTGAACTGACATTGATTGGAATAAGCTATTATAATGCGAGTGCAAAGTATTTTAACCGAGTGTACGATGTAATTTTTATGATAAAAAGTGTCATTGTATTTTCATGCGTAAAGGCCAGGCAGCAGGGGTTATTTCACTATCAAGATTGTGAGTTTCTCTAAGAGGTTTTTGTCAAAATCTGGAAATAAAAATTTGCTGTGATGATGTTCCGGTTGAAGACTATCGCACGAAGCGCCCAACATTTTCCACTGTGGCAACCTCAGTAGCACAGTATTTTGTATTTCCATGTAAGAAACTTATTGTTACCAATAAAATCCACTAAGATATAACATTGAGATCCCGCAGCTGGAAAGTAAAATAACATGGGCCAAGTGGATTTCATCATGAAGAAAGTTCAGTTTTCAAGGCTGTTTAAAATCCTTCAGAGGACAGACCAAAAAAGACCCTAAGGGTACGCCGGCTCGAGTGGGAAAAAAAATGTTCGGCGATTCGTGTCATTGCCCTTGTTAGAAAACAAAAATACAGTATTCAGCGTAGAGATGTGTAATAATAGACGACGGCCTACTGAGCGGGCAATTGGGGGGACCAGGGGGCCTATAATGACACCCTCCCCGGTGCCTCTGAATTCAGAGACCGGGGCCAGATTTCACGGAGCCGCTATAAGCAGAAAATATCGCTCAGCAAATTTAAGTGCTAAGTGGAGAATCAGATGGGAACCTGTTACGTTTAATATCAATGGTATGACGCTCTGGCTGGTATATCGCTAAGCAAATATTGTTTGTGCTTAACGGATTTCCGGGCTAAGCAGGTCCGTGAAATTGGCCCGGGTGGAGGGAATGCGAGACACTGTGTGCGAACTCTGAACTTGAAGGGGTGCGGAGTGTAAACGGCCCGTGATTCGGCCAAGTCTCCTACCCCACTTTGTCTCCATTGGAGGCACATTTTGTTTTGTTTGCCGCCCACTTTGTATCGTTATGATGACACTGGACTTCTGTTGGGCCTCAATAGACTTTATGTCTGAACATTCGATGAGATCACGAATTCTGTTTTTAGTAATTTCGAGAGCATTTTATGACGAAAGTTATGAAAGTTATACTTTAAAAAAACCACTATATGCAGTCCGTACGGACAGTGTCTACACGAATATTTCTAATGCTTTAGGGTTCTAGACCAAGTAACACAAGACCTTTTAACGATACTACAAATCCGATCTTCAACTTTGTTTGGTACCATGACTCAACATAATTATAGGAATGGAAATTGAGGATCTAAAAATCACATGCAAAAATGAAGATTTGCGCGTACGTTTAATTCGGATTAAAACGTTGTTTTAATGATCGTGAATGACACCTTAAATTATATTTTGAGACCGGAATGCTCCGAATTGTCGTCGATATATTCCTCCATCCTGCACAATTTCTGTGACAAATTAAGGAGGAAAATAATGATCTTGTCATTAGTCTTAACGGCAACAGAACTAATGTTTTGGAATAAGTACCAATCAAAAACAATAACATACACATGAAACATCCGTAGTTATATTTTTGAAATGACATAGCTTATTCTCTGCAAAAAAAAAAAAAACCTTTCAAACCCCGGACACTGGATTTGGATACTTGGTTACATAGCTATGACAATACATGGACTCCGGTTATCAGTTAAACGAGGGAAAATCTGGCGTCTCAAACCCTGGAAATTAGCTCCGCAGAACCTCCAGTGATGTGTGTATTTTCCACGGCGGAAAAAAAAACACGGTAAAAAAACCACAATCCTATTACTGGTGTATTTTTGGGCAGAACGATTAGGGTTTGTTCCTAGCGGTAAAGGAAGGTTTTTTATTGATTAATCTTGGACGGACTAGCGGGTTTGCAGGTGGTTCCGTGGACCGGGCCCATGTCGCCAGCTTCCGGCGAGGGGGGAGGACGGGGCGCGATTTGCCCCGGCGCGCTCGCGTGCGCTCACGCTCCGTCTAATTAATCGTGTGATCACTGACAAACGGTGGTATAATGACAGGACAAACCGTTGCCGGTATAGACGTGGCGGGTGACGGGCATGTTATACCTACTCCGGTATTGTGTAAAAAGGAAATGTGTAATATGTCACTGTTAAATCCTGGTGGCTAAATCGTCAATCTCTGTAGAGGGTTGAAATACCGAAAGATCTCTCCAAAATGTTTTCATAAAATTTGAGATATTGGTAAAGAACTCGTTTCAATAATTTCCTGTCCTGGAAAAATGTAAAAGATAGGTTCCTTAAGCATCACCATTTCTCTTTGCATTTAAAATAAAAAATCACGCAATATGGATAAATAATCCTTCATTTTAACGCCTTCATTTTTTTTTTGAAATTAGGTTAAACATAGCTATACGCCGGGAATGAAGTTGCATGCATTCGACATCCAGTATAGTATGCAACAAGTCTAGCTCAATGTGTTATATGAGAAATGATAAGACGGAGCAGTATATGTTGTTTTCAGTGTTGTTACATTTTGTCAAGACTTGTTGCCACATCACATTAGGACACTCTATACAATTCTATGTCAAATGTTAGTTTCTGTAAGATCACTAAACAAACACAAAGATTGAGATTTTTCCACTCCGTACTTTTTGGGAACAATATTGAAATAATTATTTCCTGTTGTAAACTGTGTAGAAAAACCGAACTCTACAGGCTAACGTTATACTTTCTATTCTTGCAATTCCATTTAATTTATAAATTTAATTTGAATAATTAATTAATTAAAGCACCATTTTAGAATGCACTTTTATGAACTGATTTTGAGCGTCGAGAATGTTTTAGGATGCAGAATATTGATGACAACCATGTTTTACAGGACTTCTCTCATACCAAAGATAGTGTCTTACCTTAGTTTTAGGATGCAGGTGCTGACTAGATTCCCGTGATATTTCGCACTCTTGGTGGGGTCTCGACTTGGCAGAGAGTCAATCTGTGAGAGACACTGCTACAGCGTCAATTAGTACGTGTTCTGGCACCGTGTGTGGTAGGACGAGCCCCGGAGCTTGACATGCAATAAGATACAGCTCTCAAGCTGCTCACAAGGCAGAAAGAAAGAAGGAAATCGTCACCACAACCCCAAAACTTGCAGTCGTTCGTTGTCCAAATCTTCTTTCGTGGGCTCTTCTACAATTCTCTTTAATGTCCACTGAAAGGATGTGATAGACTCAAGATTCCTTTTTCTTCCGATTTCAGGAGCAGTTTTTCTTCAAGAGGGAAGAGTTGACCAGAAATGACTTCCTGTGCTCGTCGGAAGACAGACAAGGAAGTTTGCACTGGATGTGCGGAGCGGTAATGCACAGTGTCAGATATGCAATTCAAGTCGCCGGGGGATCGGTACAGGTAAGAGGTCTACTTGGATCCCGCGGCCTTTTTATTCCCTGGCTGGTCGAAGCATTCCCGCCCTCCGGTGGTGACGTAAACGTTACCAATGACATCAGTCAACTGAGCTGATGAAAAAGAAGAGACAACTACTCAGACGATTCAAGCATGCGCAGTGTCACTTTTTATCAAAGCTGCCAGCGTGGACTAACTCCGGAGGATGTTTTAAAGCCACGGTTGTCATGGAAATTGAGATGCGTGGCACGCATGCGCAGTGGGGAGGCTTTCCAAAACCGCAAACTGTTGCAGACGGCGTCCCAACCGCTGTCACCAATTGTTGCAAAGACAGAAAGATGAGTCATGCCTCGGCAGTGCAGACATTTTGTAGCCATGCAAAAAAAAACACACAAGAAGTTTCAATCTTCAGACGATCTGCGCATGCGCTAGAAGAGACCGTGAGATTTTGATATCGAAAGGCAGTGTTAGATTTTGAGGGAAAAAAATGATAAAAAAAATATCGTCCATGTAGGCCGCTCCCGCGGCGAAGCGGAACAAACTACCAGAGCTCTGGGCAAACGGGGTGACACAAAATTCGCCTCGCGTCCCTTTGGGGGATTTCACGCTGCATCCAATGAAGATCAGAATTGGAGTTCCTTTCCTCTTTTCTTCTGGCTCAGCTCAAGTTAACGGCGAAATTAGCCCGGGCGATAATGAAGCAAATTGGTCGGCCCTGACTCAATGGGACCGCGGTGGTGGTGACAGGGCAAGCCGGCCAATCACCGCGTTCATACGGCGGGACCCGGGTCTAATTTGTTGCCCCTGGAACCCAGGAGAAAAACACTATGTGACAACCTCCCGTGGTGTCCGTCCCAATGACTAGCAGGGGAGAGAGAGAGAGAGGCTTAAAGCCCCGGTAGAAGCTGGCCGTAGCTCGGCCTAAGGCCCCGGCAAACGAATATCACTGCACGGTAACAAAAACAAGAGTCGGTGGATCGAATGTTACCGACTGAGAATTGTCAACCAAAAGTTCGGCTGTACTGTTGAACCTCTACTCCTTCAAATTCTGTAAAAATAGTAACACTGACTATAATTGCCCTCAAAATGATTCTTTGTTTACCTCTCTTAACTGACAAGTTTGGTTGTTATATTCGTTTGTCTTCAAATGATGATGCATTTAAGTAAGTAAAACCTTTGTTTTCTAGTGGTGATCACAATTTGTTCATGACAATGATTTTCACTGCACCCCACCTCAACTTTTTCCCAACACCTCAACAGGAACATCAATTATGCAAATCTTTTGGGTGGTCTTTCTTTTTAGCGTAGGCACTGGAGATAAATTGCATTTTTGCTCGAGATATTATGTGAAATGGATATTCTACGTTTGATATTATTGTCCCCTTGCCTCGCTGGGTCAGAATGTGTTTAAGTGAAATTAAAACTTCTCTATATCATTTACTATCTTGATTGATCTTCAAGTTATGTGTAACGCGTGGCTCAGATTTTGTTGCATAAAGATTTACAACCGACATAATTAACTCTCCGCGGTATAATATTCTCCTTTTTGTCCAAATTCTGAACTTCATCAAACCATTGTCACGTGTCAACAGCCAGAGCAATAAATCAAATACTTTCCCCCTCTTTTTGCCGCTGGCTGTCAATATTAAGTAAGAATCCGAAGGAAGGGGGGGGGTATGGAGTTGCCTAACGAATTCTGCTTGGAGTGTTTCTTTTGACGGGGTTTTTGTTCGACTCGAGTGTTGCCGGGTTGACAATCGGTTGAACAGTGTAGTCGCTACCGGCCCAATTTGGTTCTTCTAATGAAGCAAGTACGTCTATCCGGACCCTCGAGTGCCAGCCACTTATAAGCCGATTCTGAGGCTCTCTAGACCGCCACGAGAGGCTTGGCCCGAGTCTTTGATACTAGTGCCGGGGAATTTAATTGAAACTCCGCGCGCGCGCGGTGGTTGAAGGGTATTATGGTCCACGGTGGAAAGGGGGGAGGGTTAGGCGTTTGGTGTTGGTGCTCAGGCCGATGTGTATGTGCAACATGATTGACGTGATCATTGGTATAACGGCAACTGGTGCGCGTATTGAGTTGCGCCACGGTTTGCGCTGACTGGCTCGGGAAAACATACACGGGCGCGGACAATGGAACGCCGTAATGCTAAGTCGTGCGCCCAAAGCGGTTAACTAAATACGGAGATTGTTTCACCGTTTGTTTGTTGTGTGTGGACAAAATTAATATCTTCCCTTCCGACTTGTGCAGTGTCAATTGGGATTTGTTTTGATATCGCGGCCAGTTGATTGAATGAAGCTGGGGCTGTGGACATATTTGACTGGGCATTCTCCGTGCCTTAATGAGATACATGTCGGGAGTTTTTTTTCTTTTCTGTCTTCGAGTCATTCTGTACGGTCTTTGTCCTGTGTGTTTACTTTTTTCTTTGAGGTGCAGCTCGAATCGCAAAGACGTTATGATGAATGATCATGCAAGACACACTTATACTACGGCTTTTAAAATGTTTGTAAGGGAAGAAAGAAATAGATTTATTCCTTTCTTTTTGAATCCCGTCCAGACAGTTAATGTTCCTATACCAGTTTGTAATCCTTTTCCTATCCTTAGACAACCTGTTTTCTTAAACCTGATTTCGAATCATACTTGCAAGTCTTCTTGCGTGATTTGATTTCTTTCCACTTGTCTTACAACATTCTGACCAAGTGTACTTTGGTGCAATTTAATTTCAATTGCGTAAATATCTTTTAGGAATATCCTTTCTGGTAGTTTTTATTATGCCAGATAATGTCGCTGTTATCTATTTCAAAGACTCCTTCAGTCTACGATGATGAAGATGAGTCCAAGGTGAAGAAACTACTTATAGCAGACAAGTCTGCTAAGCATGCTTTCATGCTCAACAAAAACAAACGTGGACCAGTCACAAGCAATTCACATCGTGCGACATTTTTAGCTGGTACCCCAGTTTGGCTAAGCGAATATATTCTCAGCTTAGCAATTTCTTTGTGCTCAACATCTCGTACAAATGTGGCTCTGGAGTCTACCAAGTGTGGTTCCCGAGTAAGGTTGTCAGTGCAGTGTGTGTCATTTCAGTCTTTCTCCTTTCCGATCTTTTTCACCCTCGTTTGCCCTCGAGGCTTCCATCATAAACTCCCTGCCCCTCTCGGCCGCTCTGAGCCCGTGTCCCGCAATTAACGACCCAGCCGTCCGGCACAAAGCTTAACAAATCTATCTGATTGGATCTGATGCCAATGACACTTGTATGTGACATAATCCTCCCAAGGAGAACATGAGAGCTCCTCGGAAAGCGAGAAAAGGAAAAACGGAGCTTGATTAAACCCCATTGCATCCTGCATCACCGCAACACCTCGCCAAACCCTCACGAATTAATGAAAAAATAGGAGGGTTCTGGGTTACAGCCAGCACACAATGGGTAAAAAAAGGGTCAACGTTTTTTTAGTCCCGCTGAAAATTGGCTAATTCGTGACAATCGGGGTTGGGTTGAAACCAAGCCCCGGTTGAATACTGGTAGAGGTGTCTGATTATAGCATGAAACGGATACGGCCTGAGATGTGCGGCGGGGACTGAGTGGAATTACCCCCGTGATGCAAACAAGGAAGGAACAAGCCCGATCGGTCAAAACATACGGGAAATGAAAACGGGGTGTGTTAAAAAAAAGAGTGTCCGTGTCTCACATTCAGGTTCAAGATTGTTGGTTATTGTATACTGTGCTCGAGTCTCACTCACTAAAGGAAATTGTCTTGTCATTTTGGAGTTTGTTTTTCGGTGGTACCTTTTTGTGTGTCCCAGTCGAAACCACTAGCGAGCCGGTGGCCGTATTGTGCCGGGACAATGCCGCACGTGGCCGGGCGAGTAGTGTGAAGTTGATCAAGGGGGCGCGACGGGGCTAGCATTGTCCCTGCTCGCACTCTAGCTCGCCTTCCTCCCCGGAAAAAGGGGGTTACAAGGCCTGTGACATCACGGGCACTTTCACCCAAGTGTTGACTGAGAGATACAATCGTCTGGCTAAAAAAGAAAAATTAATAAGAAAAATCTAGAACTGAAATGAGTAGGACGTGATGTTGTCGTGTTTCTCTGCCGAACAGTGTGCAAAAATATTCAGATGTGATATATTGAATCATGCGTCTTTCGGTAACATACATGAAGTTTTAAGTTGGATATTTATGTTTGCGTTTTATAAGTAACAACTCAGAAGATAATGACATTGATTTGACCTATAAACCAATTTCTGTTTTCACTGTTTCTGTTTCTATCTTCTGTTTCCTCATTTTGGTCTGTATGAGCCTGTACGTATTCAGGCATGCATTTTTATATTTCTGCCCGTGATTTACTTTTTGCGGATTTAATTTGAGATATTAAATACTTGTTATTTATACTTGAATAATTTCAGAAAAGAAAACCAGAGACGGAGAAAGAGACTTGTAACTCGTAAGTACATTTGTATCTAGCTGTCTTCTTATGGTAGGCAAAATAGAAAATCTAATTCCTTTCATTGTTTTCGAGTAATATTACAGTTCACTGTGTTAATGTTGTTGCCTCATTAGACGTTTCTCAAGCACACGATATTTTGAGATTGAAAGACAGACATCTCCACTTTGATTATGCATCGTTCAGGATACGTATGAGTTTGTGTGGTTTTCTTAAAAATTCTTTAAGTAAATTGGAGCTTGAGTTGAAGATATTTTTGTCAAGATGGTGACCAAATGTTTAAAGACTCTTAAGAAGTAGCTTTTTACATTTGATATAGACGCCATTGCTTTATTCGTGCATGGTGGTGCATAATTATGACTACAACCGCTACATAAGCGGCGTGGTTACCATTTGGAATCACAGCTCGGCAAACAGCGCCGGTAGATTGCGGATGACTCAAGATTACGA